TTAGATAGTGACGAGCGTCTGTCTTGCTAGGCATTTTTGCAATACATTCAGCCATATTGAGCAATAACTTTGCGCTCATAGTTTGAAAGCTTGTCCCAGGAAAACTATCTTGTAGGTTCCGAGTATAAACTTCAACTGTTTTCCGAATCTGACCGGGTTCCAATGCGTCTCGAACATGATGAATTAGGTCGGCTAACATGCTGTAGGCCAGGGGTCGCATCGTTTCATACACAGTCAAGCCATCGCCGATAAGCGTCCCTTCATCAAGGAGTTGGTCTATTACTCTGAGAAAGATCTTTCTGAAATTGAAGTTGATTATATGTCTGATCGCTACCAGTAACTCCTTTCGAGCTCCAGATTTTTCTCGGGGGCAGTCCCTCAATAGTCTTACTACTATGTCCGGTAGCGTAGGAAGGAAATCTGTAAGCTGTTGCGAATAGACTCTCAAAAGATATGCTAGGAAACTCATAGTCTTTACCTGCGCTGTAATGAATTCACCAAAAGCCGCTCGATTCTTGATATCCGGACTAACACCTGTGAATATTGTACCTCTTTTCGCTGCTTCAATATGAGCTTGCTCCTGTGGTTTGGCTTGGAGTAATAGCACGCTTTTGATGAGCGGTATAAATAATTTGACATTCTGAGGCACGGAATTTCGATAAACCTGGAATATCGATACGACAATGATGGGACATTCAGCAAGAACTTTGAATGACTGCATGCCTTTCAGCAGCTTGCGCGTCTGCTGTTGTGGATCTTGACCAATGTCTCCAGTGGTAACAGGCGAGCCAGGCCGAGGGGAATTCTGAAAGGTCTGCGAACTTCCAGGTGTAGACGGGACACCAGAGGGGTTAGATCCAGTAGCTACATTATCGAGTTGGTCACGAACAACCGAATCCATCTGGTCGAACAAATCTTGGATGAGGCCGAGGAATGTCTGAACTTTGTCTTGCAAAACCTTGGTCTGACTTCGCATGATGTCCATGATAGTCTTGACACATAGCGTAGCATTTTCCTCGTTATCTATTCGGACTAAACTCATCAAAAGATCCACCACTTCCACCGCATATGGCTCGAATGATTCCGGGGGGTTCGTTGGTAGACGATGAAGTATCTCCAGGACGCAACATCGAAGTTTCTAAAATTCCAGGTGAGCATTGCGTCACACGTTTCGTTATTGAGATGCCTACCTGCTCCAAGTTAGTGCTAATAAATACAGGAGGACCCTTCAAGCAATTTATAAAAATTGGCATGAGCTTCCTCAAGAATGCCGGATATATGGGACCGGTGATGTAATGCTCGAGGCCATCGCGCAATTGAACAGCAGCATCGACCTTGAGTTTGAGATCTGTCGCATTATAGTTAGCATGACAATGTCCAAAACTGCGTAGCAAAATATGCACAGTGCTTTGATGTCAAGAAAAGTCCAGTGATTCAGAGACATACCAGTGTCTGCAGAGCTCAACCTCTGAACGAGGACCTCTATATTATTGGAAGCCATAGCTGCAATAGCAGCGAAATTCGCATTGGCGCAAGCCTCTTGCGGGAATTACCTCATGCAGCGCGAGGAAATAAGATCAATCACAATAAAATTTGTCCTCAGGCTGGAAAAGTACCAGTATTATGTGCAAACAGAACCGGCGTGCTTCCCAAAAGTAGTTCGCGTCTTGAATTCAAGGTTCCCGAGAAAAGGCTGAGAAAGTATGGATGTTTTGGTAAAATTAAATCAACTATTTAGTCAATAGTTGAGAGACAATGAGGGCTTCGAATGATAGAAAGTTTCGAAATGAAAGGTCTCGTGATGTCGTAAATATTAAAAACGTTCTTCGTCCTGGTTGATTTGTACTTCTTTTGATATTTCTATGATTTCTACAGACAAGGCTTAACTTTTTGGATGGGGGAATCGTAGAGACCCCGAGTGCTTATATAAGCCAAGCTAGAGTAGAAATAGGCAGTATGATTAGCCAAAGCTTTTAGTGAGGTTAGCCTTATGCTACACGTGATCTATCGGTCATTCATGTATACAGGCAGTGAAGTCAATCCAGCTTGAAAAAGTAAAGTAGGATTCGACTTTCAATGTCCAATGCAAGATATTTTTTGTTTCTGTTTGTGATGTCAAACATTCATTCTAACACCAAAAGATTTATGACTCGATTCACCTAGAAGGACATGATCAAACTCAAGTCAAATCATGTAAGAAAAGTTGGCTTCCAATGTCCAGTCCAAGACAGTTCTTGTATTTCTGTAGCCCCAGAGTCGTTCCTGGCATTTACTGCTCATTTGGTGTCGTAGTTCTAGTACTTTCCGGTGCTTTCAGTCAGTCTATACTCGGTCTTGATACATTGAAATGAAATTACTTTCTATGTATATGGCCGCAATCCTATGCTTTTGGCAAGCTGGGCTTGAAAATGGTGGCTCATGGACGCAGTAGAGTAACTTAGTAGTATTTTGAAATACTACGGCGCGCGAAATATCTATATTTACTTTGACAGTTCGACTTAAACCCCCAACCGTGGATCAAATCCGTTGGTAGTCATGGAATGTTTCCTCGGTCCAGTTTGGCCTTTCCCCTGTTGTACGCCAATGAATGGACGGTAGTTGATATTGGATCTCTATGATCTGAAGGAAAGAAGGGAAAGCAAGGCATCGATGCGGAATTCGGACTGCGCTTTGATGTGGAACTATCACCGTTGTCGGTGATTCGAAAGCCTTGCGAAACTCTTGCAGGTTATTAATAAGGCAGATTCGGTACCTAGATTCGAATAGACTGATTTCCACTGGCCATCTTTCCTAACTGAAACAAGACTGGCAACAGAGGTAAAGGATTACCTATCCAAACTACCAGAGGTTCCATCCTGCTGCCTTCTTCAGCTATTTATAAAGGTGGAATGACGAGTCCTTGGGAAATGTTGACACTAGCTTTACACATCAAATGTCTGCCATTTGGATCGCCCTTTTGTGCAAGCTTAAGTCTCCAAAACAACACTAGGCCGATATAATATCTCCCTCTTCACAATACAACATTTCGCTTTACCGAAAGATCCCAAAACTCGCCGAGCAATGATTTAATGTGTGGTGTGCTTGGGCCACTCACCTGTTAATGATTTCACCTAAGAGGTTGTCGCCGCAATGCAATCGCAATCCATATGCCCGCCTGGTCATGCTTACAATGTCTGTAAAGCTTCATAGCAACAGAATCACTATAACAGATTCCAGAACATGAGACGTTATTCGCTGAACTCACATCCGCTATCTCTTTTGCTTGCGTGTTATGGCATCCAAGGATATGCTGACTTCGAGATATCCATGTAGCCAGTCGTTCCTCTTATATTACAATACACGAGACTAATCATGCGCGTAGGTAGCTATGGCTTCTTAGCTCTACAAGCTACTATTTATACTACCTCTGGCTTTCATAACGTCCGAGAGGCTCAGCTAGGGGATTCAATGAGGGATGGGCATTGAAAGCAATAGTGAGGTGCCAATCCTGCTGTGAAACTTTGCTTTCTCCACTACATCGATTGATCCGAAGGTTCTCAAGGTGAAGAGTGCTCGCGCTGGCTAGTACCGATCAGTCTGTTTTATCGGCATGAAACATTCCGTTTTCTTTATTTCGACAGTTTGTCGGGAAATGGCGACCAAGACGAGAGACAACAAGCTCCCAATAACTTCCTCACGCTGACTCGAACAAATCTATACTAGTACAAAGTAGCTGACATGATGTCAGAGAAGAAGAATTGTATCGACGAAGGAATGTCTTAAAGCAAGGTCTAGCAACTATGAAATTATGACCCGGATGCTCACATCTAATGGGGAAGATAACTTACACGACGACTATCCAATATTCCCTTGATTGCCTCTCACTGAAGAGCTTTTCTAATTGTGGAATGCCGAACGTTTTTCTCAGGGTCAAGTGTCCATGCCAGCAATACCGTCCACCACCAGTGCTGGAAACGCAATATTCACTTGTGCTTTCGTCTCATATTACTTGCTCTATAGTATACACAAGAAGTCTGATGTGTATTTAAGGCATTGGTTGTTGACACTCTTTGCTTGAGTATCTCAATAATCATGATGCTACCCTGAGTTTCGAAAATTCCCTTCAAGAGAGCACCTGCCTTTATCACAACGAAGATCTCCCAAGTTCTGGAACTTATCATACCTTCCTCTTGAATGAAACAATACAAGGATATCGTACATAGCTTTGCTACATGGAAAATCCATCAGCTTCTGGCGTGGGCCGGACGATCATTCCCCCCTTCTTGTTTATTCACTCCATATAAATCTACAAATAGAAGGATCACATTCACATGAAAAATCTTCTAATTCAATTGATTCACATATCTTCCCAGTTATTCAGTGGCACAGTGGCACATCAAGTGGGTTTACTACCATACTCTTAACAATTCGACGCTTTGGATTGGTCGCCTTACCCGGTTAAACATGTAAATGGAGCCTGGAAAACACCTTGATGGCTATTTAAGAGTACAACCAAAAATTCTATGGATCTTCTGCACATCAATTTCTAAGAGTTCATATTATTTTTGGTCTTCTTTCGATTTCAAGACGTGAGATAAGAGGCTTTGCAAAGACATTGTCCAAGATAGACTACGCAAAGAAATCTATGGTAATGTAATCTTGCAATATCTCATAATCACCACCTTCGATCCAGATTTGATCCCTCATATAGTATATGTATATCATATGGACAACACTCCAATACCTTCGTCCACAGGTATATGGATATCCAATCCATGGATCTATATTCGACTGTTTCATATTACATACAAATTTATCAGTCAACGAATAACATTGGAGTTGATAGCTACCCCGTACCTCCACGAGGTCTCCTCATCCTCTCTAGAATTTTGGCACCCCTCCTTTCATACTTGGCACCGTAATAAACGTTTGATTTTTCACATTCTAATCTCGCATTTATCTTCCAGCTCCGAATCTTACGCACAAGTAATAGTTTCCGGAAAAGCCTGGAATATTCGATCATGGACAAATTTTCCATCTGTTCCCTACTATCCTCCGTCCGCTCAATCTACCGGAAAACCAAAACACCCTCGTCCTCAAAATGCAGCAGCACCTCCTTTAGTCTCGTTGTCGAAACAAAAGAGGTCATCGAAGGTGTCCCAAATCCACAAGCCGAAGTCTACACCCAGAAAATCCTCTCTCTCTATACACAGCTATCCCAACTCACCGATCTTAGTCCTTCGCCTGTAACCAACGGTTTGTTTTCAGAACTTGTGGGAACTTGTATCACTGTTGTTCCTGGCTTGATTTCAAATTTGGTTAGTTTTGTAACTCCAGCTCGAATGGCAACTTTCGACTAATAGATATGTAGGTACTTAACGACCCACGAGTCTCTAGCATTTTACCTATGCTCCGAGAAATCTGTGCGACCGCCGAAGCATGCATGGAGTCGTACTGGGCAGAAGCCATTTCTAGCACTGAAACTCATGAGGATGGCAAGTCTCATGTATCTCCTAACTCAAATGCCCTACAACTAACAGCGCTCAGCCCATCGTATCCTGTCCACCTTCCCCTACGACAAAAACTACGAACACCTAACACGTTTCGAACTCGCCGCTATTACCTCAACTGGCTTTACTCTCTCCCCATCCACTAACATCGCTTTTATCGGCTCGGGTCCAATGCCACTCACCAGTCTCTGCATCTTATCTGCACTCTCCTCAAACCACATGACATACAACATCACACCTCCTTCATCTATTCCATCTATTTCCCCCATGCCACAATATCCCACCACCATCACCAATATCGACAGTAACCCCGTCGCCAACACCCAAGCTCAAGCTCTGTGCAAATCACTCGGTGGACTTCCATCCACCGGAATGAAATTTCTCACCTCATTAGCTGGATCTAATGATCTCGATCTCTCGAGTTATGAGATCGTATGGTTAGCAGCATTAGTGGGAGGTACCCAGGAGGATAAAGAGTGTATTTTGCGAAATGTGGTGGGGATGATGAGGAAGGGGAGTTTGTTGGTTATGAGGGGGGCGTGGGGGTTGAGGAGTGTGCTTTATTGTGTATGTTTTTTTTTTGTTTTGTTTTTTGTTTGATGTTTTGGGTGGATTCTTTGGTGTTGTGGGATATAAGATATGATCTCAATCTGAAGAAAAGAAGATACAAACGAACGAATAGCTAACCACAAAAAAACCAGGATTTCGACGTCACAACCCCAGCAGTAACCCAATATCTCGATATTCGCGTCCGCATGGACCCATTCGGCGATGTCGTGAATTCTGTTATTGTAGGGAGAGTGAGATAACTCTGACTCCCTCTATCCTTAGCTTGGTTCTGGGAGAAGAGCTTGAGATTTATTCATATTGTTAAGTTGCTGGATCGTGGTTGGACTGAACGGAATTAAAGTGGACTGAACTGAACTGAACTGAGAGGATGAAGACAGAGATGAAGACGGAGATGAAGATGCTGGAATGGTAAGATGCTAGAATGGTGGAATTTTATAATATCATTATGGATGGATGGGTATGGTAATTGGGAGGTGTTGATGAAAGATCATAATATATTACTTGCGATTAGGAATTTTTATTCTCATTTTTTGGTTCTTTTGGGGAGGAAGAGGAAAGGAGAGGAGAGGAAAGAGGTTTCCAAGCTGAGATGAATGAAGGAGTGAATGAATAAATGAGACCATGCAGCGCACTGATGTTTGAATCCAACTAAACTAAATTACAATCGTGGATGGAAGATAGATACCTAGGTAGGTAGATAGATCGATCTATAGGATGTGATAATTGTATAGATTACCTAGATGAGATGAGATGAGGTGAGATTCGATGAGTTGAGTTGAGTTGAGATCAGATCAGATCAGATTGATTTGATTTGATATAAGGATTTATTAACGACTTGGTATATTTGTTACTTCATAGCGTGTAGCGAGTAGCTTGATGAAGTTTGAAGTTTGATGCTTGGTATTCAATGTGGAGAAAAGAATATGAATAAAGTATAAGCAAGTATGCGTAAGTGTGAATAGCTTCAATATATACACAAACATGTATGTATATCTATATCTACATTTACATTCGCAAAGAAACCCCAGATAAATCAATCGCTCACTCAATCAATTCTCCATCCATTCATCCATCCGTTCACTCTTAAACGACCTACCTACCTACCTAGTATCCAAGACTATATAATATATAATATATCACATATCACATATCACATATCAAAACTCCATTCATAGCTAGATAGGTATCTCTTTTATATATCTTGTCATTTCATTTCATCTCATCTCATTCTATATCATCTCTTTCCTACTTCTCCGCATACATATCCATATCCACATCGGCATCTACTCGCGATGAAGACCTTGAGGTCTAGTGAGTTTTCCCTCCTGCTCCTATCCTATCTTAGATCTTAGATCTGAAGTACATCTCAGATCCGAATCCAAAAATAGATGCGAGATAGATGCGGGAGAGTAAGCCCTCCCTCTACCTCTCACCCACCACCCTCTTGCTTTCAATCCCATTTCAACTTCCACTCCAACTTCCATTCTAACCTCCAATCCACCGCGATTGACTTATCCTCACTAATTCCTCATTCCCCCCTCTTCTCTAAACAATATTCCCTCCACGTTCCCACCCATCATTTCTCCACCCATCTCTTCACACCTTACACACCTCACCATCTCACCATCAAACCCCAGAACCCCGAAAACACAAAGAAACCCCCCGTCACCATCACAAAAAAAAAGAGGTATCTCACTACCTCCCCATCTCACCGCATCACAACCTCATCAACACCTCCAAATACCAAAAAATCCAGCAACCACAATTTCACACAGCACAACACAAAACAAAACAGCACAGAATGAATGATCGAAATGCAAGTGCATAGCAGAGCTTATCATAGCCTAACCATTAATCAAATTCAAATTCAATATAAACATCTTAAAAAGAACAACTGAAGATAGGTACCTTCACACAGTTCCCCACTCAGCTCAACATACACATCAACACCATCACCACACCATAAGTAACATAGTGACATATCAAAAAGCGCCCATTGTCAAAAAATTACAAGAAAAATAGAACATTGGTAGAAATTGGTTAAAAAAAAAACAAGTAACATTTCGCTGGTTTTTGGGTCTCTTGCAAGGTTGAAGTTTAAAAGGGAAGCTCCACTGTACTGTACGTTCATAAAATTGGGAATCAAAAATGTAAAATGTAAAAGAGAAGCGAATGTCCCGTGTAGCCACATTTTCTCAAGAGAAACCGTCCATATGCAGTCCTTCCCCTAGTCCCTCATATTTTATCTGAATTCTTCCCCTCATCGCAATTGTGTCATACTTTAGTCTGATATCCATCCTACCACACCCTCATATGATATTCCTTTCCTCCCAATGAATCCCTTCCATTCCATCCATCCCACCAAATGTAAAAGCCACCCGAGAGATTCGAACTGAAAATCTGTGAGAAAACTCCTGCCAGCCGGCACATCCTCACATTGTGACATGAAAAACCTGTTCATATCCAAAAAAAAAAAAAAAAAAAAAAAAAAAGAAAAGAAATGTCCCACACGTGAAAAAAAAACCAGACCCTTAAAATCGCTAAAATGAAGTAATGAAGTGTTACGAACACAATAGCAGGTCAATGAACAATCGCTGTCGTGATATCATAAATAAACAATTGGAGCTGTAGATGAAATGATGAATGTTATGAAAGATATTAAATCTCAAATTCATCCATCATCTTCTGCATCATCTTCATCTTCATCATCTTCCTCAGCACTGCTTCTAGCTGCAGCGACTAATTTAGGTTTCTTAGTAGGAGTGTGATTGTCAGAGTCGGCCTTTCGCTTAGTTCCCGAACTGGCACTCACACTAGAGACACTCTTAGCCGGGGTTTCTAATGGTTTGTCATTTTCATCTCCACCATCACCCTTTGTTCTCTCAATTTCTGCAACTTCATCTGCAGTCAAGAATCGACCACCAGGACCTCTGGGTCTTCGCATTGCATGATTATGTCTGCTCTCGTGTAAATATGGCTTTCTACCCTTTGAAGTCAGTCGAAGTGCCTCCTCTAATCTTTGTCTCGCAACACGTCTCTTCAAAATACGATGAAATTGTTTTGCATTGACATATAAAGGCGACTCTTCAACTGCTCCTGAAACGAGTTCGGGAGATTGAGGGTGTGGTGGAGGTGCCGGCATAGGAGGTCCTGAAATTGATGACCGAGGCCCATGATTCATGAGAGGTTGCGCATTAGGTACAGCAGGACTGCCAACTTGTTGTACACTCATACGTCGGTTTTGAGCAACTTGGTTGTTAATGGCAGCCTGTGTTGGTGACCGCGGTACTCTTTCCTTCTTCACATTTATACCGGCACCAATTCTTGGCGATGTTTGCGGCAAGCTTGAGTCCGGCATACTATAAGGGTAGTTACCACCAACTGCGGCATTGGTAGCTGCCATCGCTGCTGCCTGGGTATTCATCGGATTGTTTCCATATTGCAAGTTCATCTGCGGTACGTATGCTGGTTGATATCCCAGCGTGTGCTGCTGCATGTGTCCCGCATTGGGACCTCCTTGCTGCGATTGCGAAGAAAGAATTGGAGATTGTTGAACGGCATGTTGCGAATGGACTGGTTGTTGTTGAGATGGTGAAGTAATTGGAGCTCCGGAGTTTGGATGCTGTCCAGAATTTGGATATCCACCTTGAATATGCGCCTGCGTATGATTATGCTGGCCTTGCGGCGGTTGCGAATAATGCGCGTACTCCATCATTTGTACAGTTTTGATCCCGTAAGAGAATTTTGTAAAGAAGTGGAGATCTCAATTGTCCAAGTCGCGGTTGCGTGAAGCTTGGGGCGCGTCGAGGCAATAAGGTATAGTTCTTGATAGGTGTAGAAAGCGACGAAAGAAGTGCTACCGAGTTCACCGAGTACGTTATGAATTGGAGTTGAGTATTATGATGAAAATCCGAAAATTCGATGACTCGGATTAACGCGTTGGCAATGCTGTCGCAAAGGTTCCAGGTGGCTGTCACTGAGCTAGTGCCTAAGCCTGGTCGTCAACCGTCGACTTGGTATGCGTGGATGTGCTGGCAAGCAATATGGTAGGTGTACACCGCAATTGACTGCAGCACAGCATATGCAAGCTGATGTAAACGAAAGGCGCTCGAGTGAGGCGTGCGGCGTATTAGGCTCGAAAGTTGGTTACCCCACGTGAGAATATCGGGTTGAAGTTATTCAAGATAAACGTTGAACAACCTTTTGTGGTATCTAGCTATTTCGCGAGCCACTTGTAGAGTACTGAAGCTTTCTCCAGTAAATATTGACTTTTTGCAATGTATCACTATCCAACCAAACGAATTAGTTATGATGAATGGTCAAGATTGAATCAAGCTTCGGAATGAGAGGGATGATTGGAATAATGGAGAGGGGAAGGGTTTTGGGGACCCAATGTAGTGATTTTTTTTTTTTGCCTTTGACCAGTGATGCGCTGGCAATGCATGTGGAGGTCATGCAAAAGCTACGCTTACCTTGTGTATGAGCTTTCTTTAGCTTTACCGGGAATAATTGAATAATAATTAGGAATATTATTCTAAATTAGGTGACGTGACGTACTTGGACTTGAAAAAATCAAATCAAGTAACAAACTGGTGGTTTGTGTTGTGCGTTGGACCCTTGATGTACCTAATAAGTGTATGTGTAAGTAAGTAATAAGTTGTACGTATTATGTATCAATAATGCAAAGAAGAGCTTTTCTTCCTTGCACGGTGCGATAAAGGAGCTTTGACATGGAGTAGAGCAGTGCGGCTGTGATGATTTTGAGGGGTACTGTACCTGATGATTTTGGCTCAATGATTGGTAAGGTTAATCAGTTTTGATGGGAAGGGGGGGGGCTGGGATGAGCTTAAACTGGGTTGGATAGTCGAGTGCTCGGAAGTGAATGAACTGTATTGTGATGTTACCGTTCGGGTCGGGTCGGTTCAATAAACCAAGCAAGTACAGTAGTGAAGTGAATTAATACGTGGATTTGTAATAATGGAATCCTGGTATAGATCGATCTATGGTGTGTGGGTGTGGGTGTGGGTGTGAATGTGTATATTTGTTGTGTGACTCTTCAAGTTGACTGGCTAAAAAAAAAAGTAGACAAAACGAATGTTAGTTGGTTATCGTAGAAGTTTCGTATATGTATATAGTATAAGTAGTTTCCCACTTTGCTTTGCTTCGTGTGATCAAGTACTCATCAAGCTTTAGCTTTTATTGTGTACCCATAGCTTTGATGCTAGCGTGACACGCAGCCGCGACAATGAGTACAAATCAAGAGCAGAAGCCGAGGGTAAACAACTTTTAGACGGTGGATATGAAATTTGAAGTATCAAATTGTTTGACTAGGAAAGGAACTCACCTTCCAATACGCGACTTGGAATCGATTCAGATCAATTCAATGGCAAGCTCAGGTTAATCCTTCCCGCAGGTAGAATTAATCACGGGATCGGTGCTAGGGCCAATTGTTTTGGCGTCGAGGTCTTTGGAGTTGTTGATAGGGCTATGGCGATGATATTGCTGGTGGACGAAGACGATGGATGATTGGCAGTGTTCTGCTTTGGCTTGTCACCACCCCTCTTTTTCTAAATATCCCACGATGTTTGATACAAGGTATCTGGCACGTTATTGGCGTCTCTCTTCTTTGCTTGCTTTCCCTGGGGAATTGAGCGCGTCTAGTATGGGTAAACAAAGATGGCTGGGCAAATACCAATTAGATAAGGTAGAAATTGATCTTCCAATTCCAATTCCAATACCCATTCACGTCGGTAAACCGAGTGAATAATAACGGGAGGGAAAAAGCACGAGCGTAATTGGACTGGATTGGATTGGGTTGGATTGGATTGACTGTGCTTCTTTCTTTAATCAACCTCTATGTTGTGTCGATTGTTAAGGTTATTTTTGTGTACAGTTGCGATGCGATGCGACCATCTGTATGGATGGAAAAACAGATTGTGCAGAGAGTCGAATTGAGGTAAAATGATTCGTTATCGTGAAAAAGGGACTCGAGAAATACTCGAATACGTCTGATTGGTATCGTTGCGTAGGTGTGAGTCTTGGGGTAACAACGATGAAAATGAAAATGGGTCGGTTTGGTTTGTGGTTTTGCGTTGAGATTGTTTGATTCGTTGTTGATGTTAAAGGAAGGGGGAGATGAAAGGTTTTGATTGGGGATCTCGAGATATGAGTAACTTTAGTGGGTTGGGCTAGAAATGGAACTAAATTGGATTGGGGATAGCGCGAATGGGGATTTTCTGGGATATTCTAGGATTTTTCTTTTTTGTCAAGTTTTACTTTATTTCGGTTTTATTGGGGTGAATTTGACTGGATTTGATTGGATTGGGATTGGATTGGATTATATTGCTCAGGTAATACTTTCCAAACCAACATCAAGGCTGCAAGGTAGAGAGGTAAGAGAAGAGTGTGAGGTCTAAAGCCAAGGTCAAGGTCTAAGGTCCGTTGTCGTATAGCTACTGTGTAGGTGAAAACAGCGATTGTACTTGTGATATTTTCTTTTCTCTTCTTCTCTTTTCTTTTGCCCTGGAATGGGAATTTCATCAACCCGGCCGGCAACCTTGACAATCACGATTCAACCTTCACCCGAAGTATAAACTGTACACACCGGTGTGGAGAATTCATTCAATTGATTCGTGACCTGGAGCGATAGCCTCATAGCTCTAAGTAATCTAGCTCGTAATTCTCTCATTGGTTTATATGAATATTGTAAATGGATAATAAATGGATAATACATGGGTAAAGGGCAAAAGGCAAAGGGCAAAAGGCAAGAGGCAAAGGCAAGAGCAAAGGCAAGAGCAAAGGCAAGAGCAAAGGCAAGAGCAAAGGCAAGAGCAAAGGGACGAGCCGTTGATATCCTAGTTTCCATTGGTGCGTGGAAGAGAGGAATCCAAAGCAATAAATTGGTTGGTTCTTTTTGGGGTTAGATTGGGTATTGGGTATTGGGTATTGGGTACAGCAATCTGTACCTACCTAGTACCTACTACCTACTCCCTAGGACTTTATTAGCACTTATTAATATTACTACTGTACAGAGTACTCGGTACTGTCGGAAGAATAATAATACTCACGACGGTTGATATTGGAAAGAAAGGAAAGAAAGAAGAGGAAAAAAAAGTTCGTAATTAGTGGGGGTGCGATAGACTCAGTGAAGGTCCAGAGAGAGGGGAAAAACGGGAATAAATGATCTTCACTCTTGACTCGTGATATTCTTCTCATCATCTTTCGAGCTGACCTGTACGATATGTGCTTGTAATAATAAGTCTACTGCGGCTGTAAACGTCCGTCTCTCTCTCTCTAGGACTCTTAGGTGCTTTAATCAAAACTTTATTGGTATCTAATGGAAAATGGTTTCGACATCAACAAAAGAGATGGCTGGTCAACCCGTCAACGGCTGCTCATCGATGGCTCAACTACCATGAGTCCATGACATGGTGATGGTTCATCCAAAAGATCAGGGACGCTGGGCCAGGCACCGTACATTCATTCGACCTTCAATTGGAACGCGGATGGAACATTGCCAATAATCTCACTCGTTTCCCCATCTTACTTTCCAGTTTCCGTTCCATCAAAGAAACCCTTCCTCGATTGCCTCTTGGTTCCATAAACCGTATGATGACGAATCAGGATCAAGAAAAGTCGGTGTAGGTGGAGTATGTCCGGTACGTATGTATTACGAGAGAAGGGGGTGTGGTAAATGTGTGTGAGTATGTCTGTCTGTCATCAAAGCCTTGCAATATTGAAGCATGAAACCCACCCAAAAAGCAAAAGGGTCGGATTCTTCTGCAATCTTCGGTCGGTGTGGACGTTCGGTGCTTCGGAATGTAGACAACCGTGTGAGCCCTGAAGATCGAAACGGGTGAAATCCCCGTGGGAGGGTTGGAGGGTTGGAGGGTTGGAGGGTTGGAGGGGTGGAAAGGTTGGGTATCAAGGAACGAGATATGCTAACTTTGATAACTTGGTAAGAAGGAGATTGTCTCACCATCACATCAACATGGAGGGAAGTGTTATGCTATGCAGTGCTGGCATCTACTCTGTGTGTCTTCATGTCAACAGATTCAGTACTTTGTAATTCACATCACAATGCTACTCCAGTACCTACCCTACCCTACCCTACCCTACCCTACCCTACGCCGTATGATAAATCGATAATGTATCCCGTATCCCGCGGAGAGAGGGAGGTTCCGTGGTCGTTTCGAGTTACTGCCCAATGCGATGTGGGCAAGCAAAGTTCTCCATCTACCAAAAATCATGCCATAAATGCCATACATGCCATCCATACATGAGACTGTTTTTTTCGTCTATCGAAAAAGTCCAGACCAAGTTAAAAATATCAATCAATCAAATAATCCAGCTTCATACTGTTTTCTAACTGGTGGAGAACCGCTTTCACTCTTCCTCTTTAAAGCCTTTTTGTGACTTTCGACATCTTAACCCTTCCCAATCATTCTTCCTGGTGATTTTTTATATTTTTTATTTGTCATCTTCCATCTGCACGTGTGAAGCCACTATCAGGCCGAAAGGTTGTGACTCCTTCTTCTTTCGGAAGTTGTGACCGCCGTTCTGTTGGTCTCGCATCCTTGCTCACATGTCTTGCCTCAAATCTCGCCTGAAATCGCCTCACTCCTCTCGCTCTTGCTTACCTTGCCGTTAGTAATCATTACGAGCAGACATCCCCCCATCCCCCATTAAGTTGGCATCAACATCCCCCATTAGGTT